TTAAAATATATATATGATTAAATATCAATTTTTTATTTCAAGAACGACATAAAAATTGAAGTTCTATCTCTGCAATAAAATAAGCGTGTGGAGAGGTTTTCAGACAATATTTCAATAAAAGACTTCAAAATGACTGAATTTTTGAGATTCTTGCGATCGCTAGTTACGTAGCAGTTTGGCACTATTAGCTTCAATTATTGCCGCGCGGAATGCACGAGCCAAAAATATTTTCTCGCATGGTTATCGATAAATTCACCGATTTTTAGCGATGCCTTTCGATTATTTTCCAATTGCAAAAAATGAAACAGTCGCAAAATAAAAGCTGGTCAAATCTTTTTCAAGATTAAATTGTTCTTAACAATTTGGTTTTAAAACGAAAATACAAGCGTGAAGATTGCTCTTCTGTAAAACTTGATTTGTAAAACTAGATATTCGAGCAATCGCGAGTTCGCAAGCGTTATCGACCATTCTATAAACTTAATTGTTATACCTGCAGTTTCTATATTACAACATGTAGTTACATGTTATCAATAACCGCTTAAAATGAACTAAAAATTTTGGAATTAAGATTTATTTACAATAAATTAGAGAAAATTGATGTTTTCCTACATTTTTGGTTATTTGTCTAAATTATGGAAACATCAATAACCTTTAGACTCGTTTTTAGAGAGTTTATTTTTCAAACGTTACAGCTTTTTTTTTAGATTTGTCATAATTCATTAAATATTTTACTACATTTCTTGCCTCCAAATATGCCTGTTTCCATAATGACTTTCCCGATATGTAAAGACTAATGTGATTATAATCATCCTTCCTTCAATATTTAACAATAAATTTACGTATTTAAATACATTGAAATAACAAATGTTTATTTATCACTTTTAAAATGTATCAGTTACTTATTAGATATATAAATACTTATATTCTGAAATATCCAATATATTCATAAAAAAATGTTACAATATTGGCGGATAGACATTACGTGCGATTATTATACCTAAGCGATCACCTTTCTTAACCACACGAGTACGCTAGTATTACGTAAAATGATTTATTGCTGTGAACGCGCGCGGAAAAATAGCTCGCAAAAGTTACGATTCGCCAATCGGCTGTCTACTTTTCTCTGCTGTTTCGCGAAACGAATTATACCTCGTGCTTTTTTATATCAAGCTTGCTAGTCGTGTGTAGATTTACGGTCGAGTCGAGCTCGGCATGGCAAGTGCATCATGCAGAGCCTCTTTTTCTGGAATATTCAACATGCCGCATATGTTCCTCCGGGAATCTCTGGAAAAAGCTTGCATATCGGACATAAAAATTGTTACACTTCTTTTAATGAGCTGACGAGTATAATTTTAAACTTGGGCAAATGCTGCTAACCTTGATTTACAATTTTAGTGTTTTATCAGTAACTGTATTTATAAATAATTATAATTTGACTCTATGTTATACTATAACTGTTATTATACATTGAATTAGAAATGAGCAATTTTTAGAACATGCATTATAAGTAATATTTTAAAATTATAAAAATTATATTTTATGTGTTAGAGATATTGAAAGGTCAAAGTTCATGAATTTTATGCATTTTATTTGTTATAAAACAATTAATAATAAAACGTGAATAAAAACATTACTAAAAGATAAGTAAATTATTTTAAAAATCGAGTAATTTATTATAAATTTTTAAGATAATTTTGAAAAATTCTGGTAATTTATTACAAAATTTTAGATATTTTGTAGAAATATTGTATTCTCAAAGCGCTTTTGTAATAGGACATACTTTCAGAGAATTACAATCTGCGTAATTATGTACATACGCTTTGATATGCTGCATAATGCACATATTCGCATTATAATTATTATAATGCTTCGAGTGCGCAAATAAAACCATGATGCACGACGTCCTCGTTATGTTGACGAGACAATCCTGATTGCGACAATCGTACGTTTCAATCAGTAATATGAATTATTAATTTGTTCGCCCTGCAGGCGAAAGCAATCGTTATCAATCGGTTGATAAAAACGTGAGAACGTTTTAGGCAAAATCTATACCTAAATAAGGTTACATGGCATAGTAATTAAAATTAATACTTCTCTTATCTCAGTTTGTTGCATTATTATCGACTATAGGAAAATAAAATTCGCTCGTTAACAATAATGTAAAATTTTCCAAATTTTTCTAAATTTTTATAATAACAGTCATATTTTCAAATATTACGAAATTCTTGGTAATGTTGATGAGGCGAAATTCGCTCTAGAACGTTCTCTAGTGAATTCTCGCAAACGCGGTTGAGGATCTGAGGTAAACCGTATAAACTCTCCTTTGTCAGACAGCGTACGACATTTACGTCGTCGTAGCGGGGGGAGAGGAGGGGGGGGCTCGATCAGGAGCGATTTGTTGAGGGTGCGAGCAGCGGGAGGAATAATCAGCACGATGCCAGCAGTAATTAGTAGCTCGCGCGGCATTGCGGAAATTGCTGCAGGCGGCCGACTCTTGGGGGCTGGAAACACCCCCGAAATATCTACATATACATACAGTCGTTATCACCACCGTTCGAAACGACGATGGCACGTAAAGTCGCGATTTCGATGTGTCACGCGAACGTAAGTTTTAAGCGACATACGGATAAAATTATTAGACACTCTCTTTCCTCTGCCGGTATTTAATCTTATCGATATGAGACTCCTCGCTTATTAAAATGTAGGTATACATTGCTGATTCATTGCAACACGTGCGTTGAGAATATTTATCGGAAATGTCGATATCGATTTAATGACGTAATATACGTAATATTTGGAGCGTTAACGTTGCACCTTCTGCCTTTCCCTAAGCATCAGCGGCATATATTCGCTATTGTTAATTGGAAAATGTTTCTTTTATATCCCTTAAGTCGTGTGCACTATTACTTCAGAAATATCCTCGAAAGGATTAAGCGTTTTTCAAAATACTCTTAGTAATTTTTCGTTATTATCGGACTGCGTAAAATGCAATTTAACGATGTGTTTGTCTTTGCCTGTTTCAACATGACAAGATCGAATTTCCTAAATGACTCTGTCTCTTGTATTACATACTGCAGAAGAATTACCTCTAAACATTTGGCTGTCGCGACTCATACGTAAAATATCAAAGGCTTCTGTTCTACAATTTCCAAAATGTATCTCTTTCTGTTTTTTATAGTTTGTTTTACAATTTACAGTATATTCACTTGACTCTTCTTTCATTAGTTGTTTTCTCGAAATTCGTTTAACATTCGCAAAACATCACTTTGTAATGTTTATTTGTATGTGATATTTGTTTTGCGAATGTTCAGTACGTGGCTTTTTCATAAATAAAATGCGCACTCTTTTCGCTTACCTTAAAAACATTATTCTTTTTTAAAAGTAGTAATTACAAGAACTTTTGTTAGTATATTAGTAACGCGAAACCGTGTACCGCAAAAGAAGAGAGGAAAGAACAGAGAAAGAGAGAAAATAAAAAGAAAAAGAGAAAGAGGGGGCGGGTCTAAATGAGCTTTTTAAACTCTATTAAACATACGAAAAGAGCGCTTTTTTCTATGGTTACTTCATAACAACAAGTCGACGATAATTTTTAATTTGTAGCCTGCACGTCCATAATTTTCAATGGATAATTCAATTCTGTGACCTGGATTTTCATTCGCAAGCAATCGACCCTGCGCCACTCGTTACTCGATAATCCACGTGATTAGTGGCAATTGGAATCTCTTCGCACTTCAGAGCATCAGAAGTTATCACTCGTATTCCTCTGTTACGAGCAGTTTATTTTCATTAGTGCGCAATACCCCCATGACCCGCCAGTTACATATATTGCTCGCGGATCTTCTGCCATGCAGTTTCCTGGTATTAATAATCGATATTTTCGTAATAAGATGCTCTATCTCGTAACAATATGACTTCTATGTTATTACAGTATGTACATTATGTCGCGTCCCACTGCAATGCAGCAGATAATTTACAGCACAACTTTAAAGCAATTGCACCACGCGCGTATCATCATTGTCACTTTATCTTTCTGAGCTGCTATGTAATATGTTACGACATAGTTCTCGTATACCTTCAGTAATTAGCTCAGCCGTGTATCAGTTAACAAGCTTAAGCGCACGTTACTTCATTTTTACCATAAACTATTGTAATTCGAAATAAAACCTTTCAATATCTGTCAAATTCATAAAAGCATGTAAAATATATTTACATATAAACAATAGTATTATTAATATCCTTTCGAGAATAGATTCGATAATGAACATTGTAATTGGGACTACAAAATGACCAATTTATTGTATTTTTAGAAATGTTATATTTCTCAAATATTTTATATTGCTTTTTTTTTAACGAATTCGGTCAGAATTCGGGCCATCGAGTAATTTTAGTAAAGCGCAGAAATTCTCGCAAATTGAGTAATTATAACTTGTGGGTGGCTTATACTGTATATTTAACTTTTCACTCATTTCAACGGGAGTTTTCAAATAAACTCGAGCACTCGATTAAAATGTTAATCAATTAAAAGGTTTTCGATAAATATAAAAAGAGTTATATGCATAAAAGAATAGGAATACATATTAAAAAATATTTTCGGTCACGTTACTTCAATTAAGCGAAACGTCAATTATTTATCGGAAACCTTTATTAATCTTGTAAATTTTTTCATATAGTTTACGTGTCTATCATGTTTTGTCAATAATTTTCTATACTAGGGAAGTAGGGCATACTGTTGTTTATATAACACAAAAGGAATAAACATGTATTCTTCTATCATGTTTATGTCGTTTATCGTGTATAAGGCGAATGAACTGTACATTTACAAATATATACGATACGTTATTTTTTCGTGTAATGTCGGACGGACAGTACCGTTGTTACCTTTGGTATAACAAAACGGAAACATCAACGTTGACGATTCGGGAAAGGAAAAGTCTAATCGTACCAAGTACATACAAAAGCGATCAGTCACCGGTTGTCATGGTGGTCGCTTTTTTTTTCTTTCAGAACGCTGCAGCATGCGCGGATAACGCGGCGTACTCGTGCAGGTGATCTTGAGTCTCATGCCCTTGACCGCCGTAGACCCCGCCTGAATGATCATTCTTCCCGGTAGTGTGTACCACCGCGTGAAATCCCTCCTTGTCCGCGTGGTAGGTGACGATCCGGAGACTACCACCTGGATCTTTCACGGTATACTCCCCCGTCACGCCGTGTCCTGCGGGAAGAAACAGCCTTCAAGAGATAGAAGAGTTTCTTGATACAGTTCGAGATTGTGAAATACCCGGAAATACAAAATTGTTAAATCTTCTCCGTCTGCTATTATTTTACTCTCTCTCTCTTTCTCTCTCCGCTCGCAATCTGGGTCTTTTTTGTTCAATTCAAATTTTTTACTATTCAAGCTTTTAAAAAAATGTGGAAAAATTTAGGGTAATTTTTTAACTTCTCTCTATTATATTACCAAATAGTTTTTTAACTCAGATATTAAAACCTGTATTTAACAAAAATTGAAATTTGAGCAAAATGGAGGAAAAAATGAAAATTTATTAAAAATTGTATAAAACTAAGGGAACCGAATTCCATTCTCTTTTATTTCGAAGTTCGAGAGTGAAATTTCGCTTCAGATTACAGATGGGAGATTAATAATAACTTTTTATGTTATCAATAGTTATTTCGCAAAAATTCTGTTTCATGAAAAAAATGTTTTTGACTATAAAATAATTTCAGAATTATTAGAGCAATCTACATAAATATTATCTAGTGATTTCTATTATTTCTGTACTTTTTCAATTGTTGTACGTGACAAAATTTTAAATTTTAATTTATAAACTATTTCTATAGTATCATAATATTTATCTCAATACTGTGTATATAATTTTAAATAATTTTAGTTTTATGCAGCAATACAAAATTAAATGGTATGTTTAAATATTTGCAGACGTATCTTTTGATTAATAAATTTATTGGAGTGAAGATTTAATAAAGAACGCTTTCCTGTCACACTTTTTTATACTTACATTTAATATTAAATATCGTGACATATGTAAAACTTGAAAAATTCTGTTTAAAAACGAAATTTGCTTAAAGTGCAGACGAAGACTTTTTTATTTGTTGAAGCGTAATTCCCGAGATGTTTTTTAATTGCTTGTAGTTCAAAAATTGAACTAAACACTTTCTTTCGCTAAGGAAGAACTGATTCCAACTTGATTGAGGAATGCATTTGTAAAGTTTGCTCTATTTTGAGGTAAGTTTATACTTCGACACGGCACGCTTGTACGGTATCGTACCGATGCGCCGTTGAAGCCAGTTTACAATTCGAGTCAACTTCACAACTCAAGTAAGAAAACGTAGTTCGAACTGAAAAGTTGACACGAATGTACACACACACACATACACACACTCATATACCCATGTACGTACTCACAAACATTCGCGCATACTGGCTCGCGTATTCTCGACATGTCGGAGGGTGCGCTCGCGGACAGTCTTCGCAGAAATGCAATTTTCTTTTCACCCGTGGCAATTTCTGCCGACGTCAGCGAAACGTCGTGTCGGCGCCACGGTGGAAATCGGATAAACGACGTAGCCACAGGTAGCCAGCCATTCAAAGACTCGGCTCGTCGCGCGTTGTCGTCCCGCGAAAGTCACGGAAACATAAAAGTGACTCGTCCTTTTTCACTTACCATCGCTGGACTCTTTCTGGCCGTGAAAGTCGCCGGTATGATGATCCTCGACGCCGTATGAGAATTCGTACTTTGGCTTCGCCACATAGTCAACTGTGTAGCCGTCGTGATGGCGATGCTCGTGGTGGCTCTGCAAAAAGTTGTGCTCGCCGAAATGGTCCACAGGTACGTGCGGCACTTTCACCTCGTATTCAGGTCCCTGTACTGGCCCTTGAAAATGCATGTACGAGCTAGCCACCGAGACATGATGATCATGGTCCAGCGGTATCACGCCGGCGATTGATCGATCGACCAGGGCGAGGCCGATGGTTAGTGCGACGGTGACCTGCGACACAAGAAGTTTATGTCGACGATGTCGTGTTGTCCGGGGACTCACCTCCGGGCACGGCAGAAGAGGCTTTCGATGCACTGGTAGTTATCGATCATGATTGTAAATAGCGCGCGTTATGAACCGAAGAGTTCATTTACATAAGCGCTGGATATTTACTCTAGTCTTCGTAATTTTCCTGGTCTATTGCGATTTTCTTATTTATGGCGAAAAAGCTTCTTTTAGAAAAAATTTTGTTGCAGAATAAAATCGATTGACGGGAAGGAATTGCCGAGCGAAGGAAGATGTGATTTAAACATTTTTATGTGTTCCAGTGTCAGATACTTTTTCCGTGCGGCTGTATAAACAGTCAAACAAATTGGAATATTTCAAGCTAGTAAAATATGTTGGACGAGTCAAAATAGCACGGAAATGTAACCGTGATCTATACGATCGATATCGTTTGTGTATACAAAACTCACTCGATACCCATGATGAAACTCTAGACATTTACAATATACATCGACATCGAGTAGCGAGGTTCGGGTCATCGACCTCTCGTTTTTAATTACGGGGATCCCGACAGCTCGGTCGTCAATGTTCAAACCAACGTAAACCAATCCGATGGAAGTGACTCGATTGAAAGAGCGAAATGGACGTATCTACGATTTATCGGGGAAAGTTTCTTCGTCTTTGCTTGTACACAAAGAGAACGGTTTTGCTAAAATACCGAAAAATTTATAGCTATATAAATGTGCATATAATGTAATTATGTAAAAACACGTTTAAATTGATTATTAGAATGACAAAACATTTAGCAGCATTGCTCATTGTGTTTGAGTTCCCTACATTATTATTTTGAATGGCTAACAAAATTATTTTTAGATCTGTATCTAGTACAGTTTTTACATACTTTAAAAAAATCATTCTTTCCATATAGATAGTATAATACGTCTCATATAATTAATTAAAAATTAATAATAGATTAGTTAAATTAATCTTAATTACTATTATTATATGAAAAGATTTGTTGGATACAGATCTGTAAATAATTTGGTTGGACTATAATAATTTTTTAGAAAAACCTAAGCGTGTGACAACAATGCTGCAACAAATTTTAACATTTCAGTAACTAGCTTGAGGCACTTCAATATCCGACATAATTATTTTAGTAGTTCGAATAACATTATTTTCAGATTTATATCTAGTTAAATTTTTAGATATTTCAGTAAAATTGTTTTTCGCCTTCGTGTCTTAAAATTAAAGTTTTTCACTCGATATTCAACTCTTTTAATTATTTATGTAATTATAAATAAGCAGATTATTATGATTGTCTTTGAGTAAAATTGAACGCGCGACGTAAAACGATAAATACAATAATATATAATATTATTTGTAAATGATTAAAAATTGATATTGAATAGTAAATATTGACAATGTTATACTAGCGATAGGATACAAGCATAAATTATCACTTTATTTTATGTAAATTTTGTCAAAACTAATGCAACATGCAGACACTGTTTTATAGTAATTATATATGTAAAATGCACGTAGAGAAGTACAGTTTGCATTATTGCATATATAAGTACATGCTCAAGTTAGGAATATAGTAGAATATATGCAAAAAGAGATAGAATATGTGCATGTTAAAATGTACTATGTAAGATTTTACATGCACTCGTCGAGTTATGAGAAACTTCACAATATCATGTATACTTAATGTAACATTATCAAAGGTCATATATAAATATTATATTATAATTGACGCAAAATTTAAAGCATATAATAAATAAGTAATTTTGAAGACAATTATCATTAGAATAGCTACCTAATTTAAAAGCTTTTATGACTCTTAATACCAGTTTTCCTTAACAATAGAAGTAAAACGCGAGTTCGTTAAAATATATAAAGCAGAAAATGTATTCACTCGTGTACGTACACACACATGTACGTAAGAAAATAATAGAGAAGCTCTTAGCTATAATAAAACAACTAACATAAGATCTCTGAGGTTGAGAAGACTTCAAGATTAGCCAAGCACAAAAGAACGAGCGCTTAATACAATTAAAGAGAAACGTTTGTTAGAAGTCAGCGTGCACTTTTTAATTTTCATGAAGTTCAACCCCAGAATCCTTACCCATCTCTCGAGCACGCCCTGTTCTGCTGTGAAACGGATACTATATCTTTTGCAAAAACTTACGCTCGTGGCAATCCAGCTGAACGAACTAATTACATCGAGTAGACTTAATGTCAAGGAACACTTTAATCCCATTTTACATTCACGACATTGCTTAGGTTTCCGAGAAAACCGCGTTGAGCTACCTTCCCGGTCTCGAATTATTTACTTCCTTCCAAGCGCATATTACCGGGCCAATTAAATGTGTATGTAATTAATGGCAATTTAGAATCCATCGCCCTTCACCTTTATTCCCTTCTTAGTCCTTTATATTTCACTCTCTCTTTTTACTTTTTTTCTTTCTCTATCTTTTCGTCTCTGTGTCGCGGAGCTGTTCTTTAACGAGCACTTTCTCTGATCCGCGTCACATTTCCTTCCTTCGCGACGAGTTTCGACACTCTACCTTGAAAGTCATCTTCACCATTACGATATTTGAGGCGGCCAGGTGAGAACTGCAACTTACCAGCGTATTTTCTAAGCTTTTATACCGGCACGTTCTGCATACACGTCGCTGCGCACACACGCGCGTGCACATCCGCGCCCGGTTCCGGTTCCGATTGCTTATGCAGATGTCCATGTGAAGATGTACTTCCGAGACAGTCAGATAAATATGGTATGAAGGCGTCAAAACATTATTAATAAACGAGGAAGTAACTAACAAATAAACTGTGGTAATAAGATTAAGCACATAGAGCTTCATTTACATCTTAAAAAAGCTTAGTATCAAAGTAAGAAGAAAAGACTGTACGGTACTAAAAAAATAAAGAACGAAGTGTCCCACTAATTTGAACATTATAACAATTTACAAATATATAAATTAATGTGTACAAGCAAGATAAGAATACATACAAGTATACTTACATTAAAAATAGATTTTTAACTGTAAAAACTTAGAATTTATATACATATATATAAATATATATGTATATACACTAAGATCTGATTAAAATATAAACATCTTTAATGCGTATTAATAAATGCAAACCTATAAATAACTCACATTTATATAATTGGATTTTACAAAAGTTATTTTAATTTTTAAGAATTCTGAAATACAATATATATGATAAGCGTAAGTTTATTATTTATGATTTGTCGTATACCTGTTTTTTTCTACTATATATTTTACTATATATTTTTACATTATACAATAATATTAATTTTTAACACTTTAAAAATATTATATAATATAATAGCAAAATGATCATAAAACGAAAATTAATATTTCAATATTACAATTCTTTTAAATATGATACAAAAATTATTTAAATAAAAATTTTTTAGAAATGTAGTTTAGTTTCTCGCGTATGTGTACTGTTTACAATATGTAAAATTGTACTGACGGTCCTGCACGTGCATTCTACTTTGCAAGAGTCGACGCGAGTTCCAAATGGCGTTTCACGATGACTCGCGATGTCATAAAACCGATTACGTATTAATAGACAGCGCATCTTCGCGTAGCGTGAATTGAAAAATGATCCAAGAGATCGCATTAAATCGCTTCCTTCCTCTCAGCTGGCATCATGAACAACTTCCTTCTTCCTGTGAGATACGTACTACACCGTGAGCTTTCCTCAACATCGAGACGCGACACTTAACGTGTTGAGAGGATCTATTTTTGTTTGTGAATACTTATAGACCTTTATATTAAATACAAACCCCAAAGTACTGCCAATAATTATTTAGAAGACACAAAGCGTGTTAATATTATAATATTCACATACACGAAACATCCATATTTGCGCATGACGCGATACAAATTATATAATTAAATTGAATTACATAACTACGTATGCCTACCTGCAAATGATCATCAGTACTGTAATTACATTCATATAAAGTTGTTATTATAGAACGTATTTTAATGCATTTTAATTGTATTCTTATCAATTTTTTAAATTCGTTAATATCCCACACATAAAATAAATTGTATAAATATTGTTATTCAATACCATTAATATTTTGCGAGAAAGTTGCACGTTACTAAAAGTTATACTAACATTAATTTAAATTTATTTTGTTAACTAAATATAACAACATGCGTATATTGTATTTGCGCGCTGCTCTTGTGCTGCAATATTTTTTGAAAGAGTAAATATTGATTGTGCATAAGAGTATTACGTTAGTTTTCTGCTTCGAATATTTTTTGAGCAATTCATAAGATTTATTGGAATTGCATTGCTATATTTTTAATGCAACATTTTTTAATTCTTATATATAAGTCACTTATTAATTAATTACTTATAAACGAGAATCATTCTTTCATATCTCTCTTTCTAAATTACTTTTATCATTCTGAATTATTTTTAAATCAATATTGACGAAATAATGCGCTTCTTTTCGAGATTATCCGGTTCGATCGAAAACGGGAGCTCCATAAACGACGCGTCTGTTCTAATAAAAAATAGTTCTCAAGCGCAATTCTCTATTAACATAAAATTTTATTGTTGTCTGTTGCGTCTGAAATACAATAATAGCGACAAAATAAATAGTGAATGAAATAAGATGTATAATAATTGTAATAATTTTCGACGATTAGTCTTCTGGTTAATTTATCTATCTAGTTCACGAATCATCATGGAAAGAGTCGAGAGACAAAGACTTGCGTGCTTTGTAACGATTTGCATTTTATATTTACAGAGCGACACTGACGTTAAGCTCAAGCAGCTGACAGAATTTTTTTCTTTATTGCAGTTTAAAACGCGAGATACGTGGCTTTCATGAAAGAGCCAACCGGAAGTTGGCTGGCGCTCGATGAAAATGTCTCTCCGCCTTCTTTGTCGTGACGATAAGAAATGTCGGGTTGATATGTCCGCGAAAAATTCTCTTCACCTTCTCTCACGTAATTGCGAACGATACGCGAAACGCGCGGCATTAATACCAAATTCGTGCGTAACTAGTTTTTGCTTTAATTCTGCGGCAGGCCTCCCGATTAGCGCCGATGATTAGCATATTCGCTGAAGTGTAGTGTATTATATGGTATCACGTGTACATGTATGGAAAATATCCATGTGATTTGTCTATTTGGAATAACAAGCGGCACTATATGTATCTATAATATGATAAATCTGGCGCAACAATTGAACGTAAATGCAACCATGCGATTAACAAGCTACCGTTTATACATTATAACGCACGGATTAATAATATAAGTATTACTATAATATATTATTATCGTAAATGCCCATTACCCGCGACATATAATTTGATCGGTGGGATTTATGGCGGCGTCCAATAAGGCACGATAGACATTAACGATCGACCTCGCCACATTTGATAACCCGATTAATGGACTACGGCTATGATAATGAACGTGAAGGGAAATACAGCCGCCGGTGCTCGCCATACGCACCGCTAATTGGATTTTCTTTGTGAAGAAATTCTGCGGATGTACGTACTAAAGAGCTCCACTATTAGCCTGGTTCGATAACCCTTTGAAACGACACAAACGGCTGTTTCGATGATGAGAACGACGACGAGTGTGCGATTGCAAATCCGCTATTCTTTAGCGAATATAAATGTGTTCAATTATAAGCGCGCATATACATAGGCAAATTAATAGTCTCGTATCTCTCCACATCAAACGATTACGTATCGTTATCGTGTCTATGTGCTAGCTCTCTGCATATTTCTCCATAGTATTGTTACTGTCTGAAATGAAGGCACTTCAAGGTATGGCAAGTCGAATGAGATGTTATGTATGCATATAACAATAATCAACTAAACCAGAACCGCGAAACAACGTCATGATATAATTGCTACGGAGAACGTCCCGCTGCCGTGCGTCTTATATACCGAAAGGCATTAAATTGTTTTTATCTCCATCTTGAAAATTGAAGATTGCATCGTAAGTATATTAGGTGTCATTCCTAAGTAATTTATTACTTACGAATAATAAATTGAACGTGCCACTCGTTATATCTTCGCGAAACGTAGGTTTTCAATATACGAAAATAATACGACAGAAGTAATAAATAAATTGAAGTTCAAATTCATTAACGTGAGAATTGAACGATTGATGGTGTGCAAGCACTGTAGCTAGCCGTCATGTCAGCATAAATAATTTAGCGCACACTACAATTTGCGATTTCAGGTATAACCGGTATAACATTTGTAAACGTCGCGTCGCCAGCTGTATTATGCTTTCGTTCCGCACGTGATATGCGTCAGAAGGTGAATGAGACTCGATTAAACTAATTGGCGTTTCCATTGCGCATATTGAGAGATGTACTTTGCCATTTATGAGCAATCAATTTAATGGGATATCTAATTATTGTAATGCAACCCTTAACTGTACTACGAGGTATTTATGATAATTACATTCATATCAAATAAACACTTCCCTGCAGGCAATATCTCTAATACTCAAATTAATCAGGGAATTTGTGAGGAATATAATAAACGATATCTGATGCTTAAGTTTTTAGCGCTTTTTATTTTATTCGATATCGCTTATATATGTCCAGCTTTTGATATAGTCTCATTATTAACCTTTACTTTTTTATATAAGAATCTAATTATTTTTTAACTACGTTTTGGTATTAATTTGAATTTTATTGGGATAACATTTATCGGATACATAATTATATGTTATTAAATTATTCCTTTATATATGATATTAGCTGAAGAAGACTTAATAAATAAACGGGAAGAAAGGTTTTGTTAAAGGTATCTAAAAATTTAGTTCGATACAGAAAATAATTTTGTTGAGTCGAAATAATTATGTAAAGCGACAAGCATTGATGGCAATGCTGTAAAAATTTAAATATTCTAGCAACCAGTTTGAACGTCCTGCATAATTATTTTGAAGCTCAAAACAAAATTATTTTCAGATTTGTATCTAGTTAAATTTTTAATTTAACAAAACCATTCTTTTCATCTGTAAAACGTTCTTACTCTTAATATGTGCAGCTTATTCGTATTATATAAATAACTTTTATTGATTATTTTTGATATTTACACTTGCTCATTTCTTTGACTTCTATATTATTAATGTTATTCCCACTTTGTGATATCTGGAAATGTCAATGATCTCGTTCTTGTAGCGTGCGTGACTCTTTTTCTCCTTTTCGCCGTATCAGAGTTAAAGATTAATTATAATTCTAATTGCAACCGTACAATTTGCCCGTGATAACTTTCTTTGAATTTCGCGTGTTGTTTCAACCCATTCATTAAATCGTGCACCGCACGAAACCCCCTCGTCAAAATTCCGCGAATCGAAACGGTTTGGCGAGCAAAGTATCGCGCGTATATGATCGAAAAGCTCAGTCGTATACGTGGTCCGAGCCGTAAAGCCGATATGTGCAGCCTCGTATCCCCAGATCGTAAATCAAGAAGCTCGATCCCGCCGCAGGTATGATTTCGGAAGGCGATAAGGGGCTTCCGGGGCTGAGAGAAAGAAGACCTTCCTCGCACACGGGGAAA